GGATCGACACAGTGGCTGCAACAATGGGCTCAAGCATAGCAGGGATTGTGAGGATGGTGCAGGACAGGGCAGTGTTTCATTCTCTTGTACTTAGGGGCATTAAGTTAGAGCCAACTCAACAGCACCTAACAACAACAACAACAATCTTACAAGGGTAATCTCTCAAAGAGCTGGTTTTTGGTGTTTTTTGGTGAATAGCAATAGCTTCATTTCAGAAATGGCAGACAAAGAATCATACAGACTTTTAAACAGAACTATATTATAGAGTTTATCTAATATATATCCCCCTTCGGGAGCTCTGGTAGTGTAGTGGCTAAGGCACTTGACTGCTAACCAGAAGGCTGGCAGTTCAAACCCACCAGCCACTCCTCGGAAGGAAAATGGGGCACTCTACTTCTATTAAGTGATACTGCCTCGAAAACCCACGGAGGGGTCATTATGAGTCAGGTCCAACTCGATGGCAAATAACAACAACAACATATCCCCCTTCACTTTACAGTTAAGGGAACAAGCCCAGAGAGGGTAGTACCAGGTCAAGGATGTTACATAACCAGTGCATGTAGAATCTGGCCTGGAATTCCAGATTCTTTGCTCTTTGCCCACAGTTTTTCTCCAATACTACATAGTCTTTTAGTCTTTGCATCTAATGTTTTGGCCTTTTTTTTTTTTTTTTTAAATGTAGATTCAAAGGTACCACTGAAGACCAAAAATGAAGATTCCAACTCAATTTCTCAGGTAGGCTGCTTGAATAGATCGCTGTAGTGCCAGCCAAGTTTAAACTCATTAATGATAATTCTCAAGAGAAAATATTATTAAATCATTTTTTCAATTCATATAGCAAATGTTTACAACAAATAAAATATATAGTTAATATCTTTGTTATATAGAGAGCCCATACAAAAGGATAAGAAAAACATTCAGTCCCTGATAGAAAATTAAGAAAGAGACACGATTGGCGAAATCATCAAAGAAATGGAATAAGTGGCTATTGTTGAACAAATACTTAACCGTATTAGTAATTAAGGAAATACATAGTAAACCCACTAAACCCACTGCCACTGAGTCAATTATAACTCATAGCAACCCTGTAGGACAGAATAGAATTGCCCCATAGGGTTTCCAAGGCTGTAAATCTTTATAAAATCAAACTGCCTCATCTTTCTCCCACAGAGCAACCAGTGGGTTCAAACTACAGACGTTTTGGTTAGCAGCCAAGTGCTTAAACCACTGTGCCACCAGAGCTTCTTTTCTGCGATGTGTAGTAAAGAAGCATTGAAATCCCATTTATCCTATCTGGTTAACAAAGATTCAGTATAGCTCAGCACTAAACAAGTAACTATAAGTATAGAAATGTCATAAGGGGGAAAATTATAAGTTGCTATATTATTTCTTGGGAGCTCTGGTGGCGTAGTGCCTAAGGCATTTGACTGCTAACGAGAAGGCTGGTGATTCAAACCCACCAGCCACTCCTCGGGAGGAAGATGGGGCAATCTACTTCCGTAGTGATACCTCCTCGGAAACCCAAGGAGGGGTCACTATGAGTTGGGTCTGACTCGGCAGCACATAACAACAACATATTTCTTACTCTTCAAAAAGAATGAAAAAGGAAATAAAATTTTAGTCCCAGAAGATGTGATAGTGCTTTTATTTTACAGTAATAGGAAAAATTGGAAACAACTTAATTATGTTCATTATCAAGAGAATGTTTTAAAGCCATGAAAAATGAGATTTATAATGTCATGGGAGGAAAACAACATATATTATATTGCTTGAAAATGTTACATAAAATTATATATATATATAGAATAATCACAAATACATATTTGTGTAAAAAGACTGGAATGAAATATATTTAAATTGTGAATACTCAGTTGCTCCTAGGTGGTGGGTTTTTCCCCCACTTCTTTACATATTTCTGAACTTGTAAAATGTTTAAGAACATTAGTATTATTTTAATAATGAAAGGGAAAACTGGATTCAAATTTTTATACTATATGTCTTAGTTATCTAGTGCTGCTGTAACAGAAACACCACAGGCAGGGGGCTTTAACAAACAGAAATTTATTCTCTCACTGTTTAGGAGGCTAGGAGCCTGAATTCAGGGTGCCAGCTCTAGGAGAAGGCTTTCTCTCTATATTGGTTCTGGAGAAAGGTCCCTGTCTCTCTCTCTCTCTCTCTCTCTCTCTCTCTCTCTCTCTCTCTCTCTCTCGCTGCTCACTTGCTTAATCTCTTTTTGTATCTCAAAAGGGTTTGATTTAAGACACACCCTATGCTAATCTTGCCTCATGAATATAACAAAAACAGCCCATTCCCAAATGGGATTATAACCACAGGCATAGAGGTTAGGATTTACAACACATCACACAATGAAAGCAGATCACAAGATGGAGGACAGCTCCATAATACTAGAAATCATGGCCTAGCCAAGCTGATACATATTTTGCAAGGACATAATTCAATCCATGATACTATAGAGCATGACTTAACTGAATAGGAATTTGGGTGACTTCCATTAGTTTTTGTATCATATTTTAGAAATGTATGCCTGATAGGATTATTGTCTTTGTCAAAATGTCACTGGTAATTGGACTGTGTGTCTTTTCATATTTTCATCCCCATTGATAAACAGGAAAGAAACTGACTGTAGTCCTCCAAAAGGAAATGTTAGCATGGTTGCCTGCATTTCTTGGGAGTGATAAGTACCATACTTTAGGGTTGGTTACTCAAGTCCAGGAGCAAGAGGGTTAAGATTAGGGTTTTTGTTTGCTTGTTCTTTCTTTTTGTTCTATGACCTATTAGTTACTGGGAATTTACAATGTGCCAGGCACTGTGCTAAGTGTTTGAAATGCATTATGTCATTCACTAATCAGAACTCCAAGATAAAAGCGAGGCTCAGAGAAGAGATCTTGCCCAGTGTCACATGGCTAGAAAGTGGCAGAGTTGGGTCTGGAACCCATGTCTCCTGGCTCCACAACCTTTACCTGGCATTTATCATTGTCCTTTACTGCCTGCTTGAGCATAGGGTTCTCATCCCGACTTGTCAGCGATGCCTCTTCACAGAGCAAAACCTTCCCCTGATACATGTGACGTAAAAGTGTCCTTTTTAGAACACTTTCATAGTAGTGATTTTCAGAGGGCTTTTACGTGGATGACTACATTTTGGTGGTTATCCTGCCCTGAGAGCTAACTATGCCCCATAAAGTTAAAATTATGAGTTATGAAGCTCTAGACATGCAGTAGGAGGGCAGTGTTGGTTCAGTGGTAGAGATCACCCTTTCCTACGGCAGAACTGGGTTCAGTTCCCATCCAGTACACCTCATACACAGCCACCACCCATCTGTTAGTAAGGCTGGCATGTTGCTATCTTACTGAAAAGATTTCAGTGGAGCTACCAGGCTAAGATGGACAAAATCTGCCAATAAAAAGCCTATGGACCACAACAGTCCAATCTCGCGTGTACAGTCACCATGCGTCAGAATCTGACCTGTGGCAGCTATCAACAACAGATACATGATGGAATCTGAATCAATCAAGTAAAGACCTGGGAAATAGCAGACTGCCTAGTTCTGGTCCTTCCTAATTAAGTTAAAGAAGAGCTTCACTGAAAACTAGATAGCTTTACCCAAATTGTTTAATAATGTCAAATACTATACGTAAATGTTGCATGCTTGTACCTAAATTTTTAACGTCATTAATAATCATAGATCATAATAAGAAAAACTTCTTCTGATGAAGTGCTGCATATCCCTTAAAACAGAAAAGCCACAAATTCTATCAGCTTTGTCATTTAGAATTATATTTTAAGAAAAAAGTAATTGGAAACTCTTATATCTGAAACTTCACAGGAACATAAATTGTAGGGTGATTTAAAGACACCGTCATGCATTGAAATCATATGATCCCTTAGTTTTCCTGCCACCACTTTTTAAGCTTCATAGAAATTAATTTCAAATACAATCTTACATTTCTTACCAAACTCTTCTGATTTGTAACAGGATAATAGTCTTTCTGGAGAGTGGTGCGAAGCTCTTCACAGTTTTACAGCAGAGACCAGTGAAGACTTGTCCTTCAAAAGGGGAGACCAGATCCTGATTCTTGAGCATTTGGACTCCGACTGGTACAAGGGCAGACTGCATGATAGGGAGGGGATCTTCCCAGCAGTTTTTGTACGGCCCTGTCCAGGTACAACTACAAGAAATGAATCTTAGTCTACAACAGAACCTGAAACCTTTATATATTTGTGTGTATGTATGTGTGTGTGCAAGCACACACGCACACACACACACACATATACATAAACATGCTCAGTTCAGTTTGTCTGCATGCTACATTTGAAAGAGTTGATTCATAACATTATGCAAAGTCCATTCATTTACTGTTTTGGAGATATGGAAAAAGAAAGATTAAAATGTCTTCATTTAATAATGGCTAATTATAATATAGGAGCTCTGGTAGCGCAGTGGCTAAGGCACTTGACTGCTAACCAGAAGGCTGGTGGTTCAAACCCACCAGCCACTCCTTGGAAGGAAGGTTGGGCAATCTACTTCCGTAGTGATACCACCTCGGAAACCCAAAGAGGGGTGGTTATGAGTTGGGACCAACTCGATGGCACCTAACAACAACAACAACAATTATAATATAACATAATGATGGCCAGGGCCTGAGATAGGTGGGTGCAGGGCTCGGGGCTGCTTCACTTGGGGGTGGCTCCATCTATTTTAAGGCCGTGGCTCGAGGTGGGTGGGGGTTGAGACTGCTTCGCTTGGAGGCAGCTCTGTCTATTTTAAGGCCGGGTCTGAGGTAGGCAGGTGCAGAGCAGTTAGGAACAACTAAGGGAGACAAACTTGTCTGTTAGTTTGTTGTCCTATGGTGGCTTACATGTTGCTATGAGTCTAGAGGCTATCCCATCAGTTTTGCAAAATGCCAGCAGGGTTACCTATGGTGGACAGGTTTCAGCAGAGCTTCTGGACTAAGACAGACTTGGGAGAAGGAAGAGGCCATCCACTTCTTAAACAATTGGCCAGTGAAAACCTTATGAATAGCAGTGAAACACTGTCTGATATATTAGTGGAAAACTTTATGAATAGTCCTGAAACATTGTCCGATATAGTGCTAGAAGATAAGCCCATCAGGTCGAAAAGCACTCAAAATTTGACTTGGGAAGAGCTGCCTCCTCAGAGCAGAGATGACCTAGGCAATATGGGTAGAGTAAAACTTTCAGGACCTCTATTGGCTGATTTTGCAAAACCAACGACTTATTCATTGCAAATACCTTTTTTCAACAACACAAACGGTGGCTATACACGTGGTCTTCACCTGATGGAGTACACAGGAATCAGATCAACTACATCTGTGGCAAGAGACAATAGAGGGGTTCAATATCTTCAGCCGAAACAAGACCAGGAGCTAATTGTGGAACAGACCATCAACTGCTCATATGCACATTAAAGTTGAGGTTGAAGACAATTAAAACAGGTCCATGAGAGCCAAAATATGACTTTGATAATATCCCTCCTGAACTTAGAGATCATCTAAAGAATAGATTTAGTGCATTGAACATCAGTGACTGAAAACCAGAGGAATTGTGGGATGACATCAAGTATATCATCCATGAAGAAAGCAAGAGGTCATTAGAAAGACAAGAAAGGAAGAAAAGACCAGAATGGATGTCAGAAGAGACTCTGAAATGTGCCCTTGAGCAGAGAGTAGCCAAAGCAAATGGAAGAACTGACTAGAAAAAAGAGCTGAACAGAAGATTTCAAAGAGCAGCTCAAGAAGACAAAATCACTTATTATAATGAAATGTGCGAAGACCTGGAGTTAGAAAACCAAAAGGGAAAAACACACTCAGCATTCCTCAAACTGAAAGAACTGAGGAAAAAATTTAAGCCTCAAGTTGCAATATTGAAAGATTCTGTGGACAAAATATTGAATGATGCAGAAAACATCAAAAGAAGATGGAAGGAATACACAGAGTCACTATAGCAAACATAATCGGTCAGTATTTATCCATTTCAGGAGATGGTATATGATCAAGGGGAGCTCTGGTAGCATAATGCCTAAGGCACTTGACTGCTAATCAGAAGGCTGGCAGTTCAAACCCACCAGCCACTCCTCAGAAGGAAGATAGGGCAATCTACTTCCATAGTGATACTGCCTCGGAAACCCAAGGAGGGGTCGCTATGAGTCAGGTCCGACTTGATGGCACATAACAACAACAACATATGATCAAGAACCAATGGTATTGAGGGCAGAAGTCAAAACTACACTGAATGAACTGGCAAAGAACAAGACTCCAGGAATTGACAGAATACCCACTGAGATGTTTCAACAAATGAATGCCACACTGGAGGCACTCACTCAGCTATGCCAAGAGATTTGGAAGACAGCTACGTGGTCAATTGACTGGAAGAGATCCATATTTATACCCATTCCAAAGAAAGGTAATCCCACAGAATGTGGAAATTATCAAACAATATCATTAATATCTCATGCACTAAAATCTTACTGAAGATAATTCAAAAAGGTTGCTGCAGTATATTGACAGAGAGCTTCCAGAAATGCAAGCTGGATTCAGAAGAAGACATGGAATGAGGGATACCATTGCTGATGTCAGAAGCATCTTAGCTGAAAGCAAAGAATACCTGAAAGATGTTTACTTATGTTTTATTGACTATGCAAAAGCATTTGAGTGGAATTCCAGTAAGATGGCGGAATAGGCAGAAAGACTTTACAGACCCTCTTCAACAAAGAAAAGAGGAACCAATTAACACAGATACAGAAGATAATCCTGGACCCCTGAGCATTGAAGGGAAGGATATAGAAATGGACTAAACTCCAACTAGCAGAAGAATTTGCATGAAAACAGCAAAAAAGGAGACATACAGAGCTGTGATCTGGAAGTGATCCTGACAGCAGAGACAGCTTGGATATTACCAAGTGGTGGGAGGACCTAAGAATTCACCTAAAAATCAGCCCTGCTAGCCAGGGACTGCACGGAAGGCTGCTCTGGTGGCTGGGGAATAAAAGAGGAAGCAGCAAAGAGGAAGGCGGGCTGAGCTGTGGACTTTTCCCTGTCCAGAGGGTGCAGCCATTTTGAATGTTTACAAGCAGCTTGACCATTTTGGATATTTAAAGTGACAACATTCTCCCAGATTCCAGGGACTTAAGAACAGACTCCAGTTGCCGGGAACCTCAAGGACATTCTGGACCGGACGACTATAAAGGTGTGATATTCCCCTTGTTACTCTTATACCCCACAACCTCTTGGTGAAAGGAGGTACAGCCATCCCTCACTCCCACCCACTTTCTGGACTGGTAGGAATTCCATCCCAGTCTGTGTGCAAGGAGGGAGCCTGGGTGCCCTGCCCTGATTTTTTTTTTTTCTGTTTTCTATTTTTAGTTTGTTTGGTTTTGTTTGTTTTAAGCTACTATTATTATTACTTTTGTCCTTTTTACTGTTATTCTTCATTCTTCCACTTCCAGGTTCTAGTTTTCAGCTTTTTTCTTTTCCCTCTTCCTGGTTGCAATTTTTTTTTTTTTCTTTCTCACAATTAACACCTTTCCCTGTTTTTCTTTTTGTGTTTTTCCCATGTTTTTCTTTACTATTCTCCGTCTCTACTTTTTTCTCTTATTGCCCTCTCCCAAATATTGCGGTGTTTTTTGTTTTGTTTTGTTTTTGTTTTTTTCTCTTTTCTCTTTTTTGGTT